AGAGTCCCAGGATCGAGTCCCGCATCGGGCTCCCTGCTCAGCAGGGAGTCTGCTTCTCCCTCTGACCCTCCCCCCTCTCATGTGCTCTCTCTCTCTCCCTCAAATAAATAAATAAAATCTTTAAAAAAAACAAACAAACCATAAACCTTACTTGTGGGGTAGAAGCAAATTCTTACCTATGAACCAGAGTATTCTTGAGGCCACCAACCAGGCCTCGGGCGATGGTTTTCACTCTGGGGGTGAGAATCGCTTGAGAGACGTGGAAGGAGCCGCGCGGGGCCCGCTCACTCAGAGTGGTCTCCAAGAAGAGGATGAGTTTGCTCACACTTGTGGTGTTTGCCCAGGGCGCTGGGATCTTCTTTCCAGGCCACAGGAAGGGGTATTGCTTGTAGAAGGGACAGTGATAGAAAATAAGAACCTGAAACATTCAAAACAGAAAAAGGAGAACAATTGATGAATTAGCTGAATGTTAATTCCTTGGCTTTGCCCTGATTTCTAGGATTAAAGGCAAACAAGTATAAGCATGTAGAAATTCAAGAATTTTATGTATATGTATATTTAGAGAAATCAATAAGCAAAGATTTAAGCACTTGTGTATGTCTGAACTTGAAAATTCTTTATTTTTATTGCGAACACCTCTGCAAGTATGGTAAAATCCCGAACCCCTTCTCAGACTGCATTTTAAATGAATGTATAAAATAAAATAGACAGGATTACAAAGGAAATCAATGAGACCAAAATATAGCTATCAATATATTATTAAATTTGTGATAAATGAGTGTACATGCTTCATAATAAATACATTAAATAAAAGTATTTTGTTTTAAGTCTAATAAGTTCCATCATTTTGAGTTAATGATGAGTAAATGGTATTTCAAATAACTGAAATGTGATATGGAAATACCTGTAATTTCTATGGTGACGAAGTCACAGGTAGGGCCGATACTGTGGGTATATGAATTTTCAGTTAGAGGTGAGAGGTAATAAATATGTAGATTTTTCCCATCCAAATTCACAGACTGCTTCAATCCTGCCCATGTCCCTCCCCTTGGGGCTCTGAGCCCCAGATGGAGAGCCCTGTGGCTCCCTGGGGCTCAGAGTCGTCTACACGGTATGAGTCCTACGCTCGGGAGACTGACGCTCCTGGGTTTGAGACCAACACCTTGCACTAATCCGGGAGTACCCTGAGTTTCAAACACACGAGCCAAGCTGACTGAACGAATAACCCTTCCTAGGAGGGGGTGGGAGGGCGCTACTCCAGGCAGGGCAGACTTCCAGAAGGCGGTGGGTCTCCAGTGGGACCTCTCGGGGCTGGTGGTGATTTTGAAAATAATTAGTAAGCCATAGCCACAGCATTAATTAGTTTCTGACAGGCAGCCGAGGGATGGGGAGTTGCTATTTTGATCGTCCCAATTCAAAGGCTAGGCTCTGCTGCTTAGGTTTCTAGAAGTAGTATATTTTCCCTGCTCCCAAGCACCAGTAATCTCTTCCTGAAGGAACGCCCCGCGTGTTTACACTCCCTGGACTGCAATCCTCAGATAGCTGGCCTGAGAGCGTAATTCTCCAGGCACCCGAGAAGCAGGGCTCTGAATGTGTGTCTGGTCTCCAGTGTGTTGCGCTTATGACTAAGGTGCATGACGAACTGCTCCTGCGGGCCCGGAGCTTGGGCACGTCAGGCTGGATGCACCCAACAGGTGAATAGTTATCTTGTTGTTTTTAATGGTGTTGAGTAATGTCTGACTGACTGCTAAGGATGCCCGTGGTAAACACGTGTGTTAATGAGGTTAATCACAGGCTCAGAGTAAGCAGATTGTCGGGGAGATTGGGAGGATTCCCTGCCGGCGGGGTAATTGGCTAGCTGGGAGCCTGGGGTCTCCTGCCTCCGAAAGGAAGGCAAGCTGTCTTGTGGAATGGACGGTGGCAGAGGCGGGAGGCTATGTGATCCTTCCCTGTCAGGGCAGGCTTTCCGAGCTGCCGGGGCCCCAAGCAGTGGCAGTGCTGTTCTTTACTCTGCCCTAGAAAAGGTGCAAATAGGACACATTGTACAAAAGGGGCTCTAGGCCTTTCCTCAAGCGCCTGCGCAGTCTGACCATAAGGGTTAGAAGGAGAATTTCTGGTTACACGAGGATGTTGGTCCAGCAAACCAACTGTTATTCCATGGGATTCTAGGGGCAGTCACTCTTGCCCTAGGGCCTGTGTTTTGCACCTGCCCTATCTCGCTCTGCTGTATTTTTCTCTAAAATACTCTCCCCTCCAGCTCCGCAATTTATGTTCAGTTTCTCTCTGGAGACTCAGATTTGAAATCTACTTTCTTTTGAAAATTATTCCTCGACTGACTTCCTCTTATTCTGATGGGTCCTTTCCTGGGGGCTCCTGGACTATAGATTTATGCTATGTGCTATTTTCCAACTGATTGCTTACAAACCCCTTCCTTCATATAGTACATTTGAGGCAGTTTTATCTTGCAATTGTGTAGGGGTTGTTTTGTATTTTATGAGTGTTATGGACTCCTCCCTTCTCATTAAGATTCGAAATACTGCCAAACCGTAGATGAAATCTTCTCATTCATTGTACCTCCAAACCCATAACTGCGATGCACAACTATCGGTGAGCTGTGATGTAATTGTTGAGTAAATGAAATTTGACTGAATGGTAGTACACTTCTTGCTATGAAACTGTAGTGATAAAATACTCAGGGGGTTCCAGGCAAGGCAGCTCATTATATAATGAATATTTAAAGTGTAACCACCAGGAGGGCCCTGCCCCCAGCAGGGGATAGATCACTGATGACTGTGAGGTCTGTTTAGCTTTTAAGAAGAGACATGGCAGGGAAAACGTGGGGAAAGCAAGAAGAGCAAATGGATGACACTCCCTTTTTCTGACAGGTCATCACAGTGTCTTTCCTTCATAATTTTCGGAGTAGCTGTAGTTGGAAGACACAGATCAGTCCATACTTAAAAACAAGGATAGCTCATCACTCTGCTGCTAGAAATTCACTGTCCCCCCTCATCATTATTCCTGAAGACACCTGTTACTCCTGCAGACTTCCGAACAATTTGGTATGCACTATGGCAAGTCCATTCAGGACACTATCTGTGTGCAAAATTATAAAACTATATTTATAACAGATATCTGATTGTCAAACTTAGCTGTACTGAGATTTAACCTTACCTGAATCGCACATTCAAAAGCCCTCTTACAGATCTCCAGCCCTTTATTCTGTTCTGTGAAACCTCTGAGACCCTCTGATAATAAGGGCTCACGAATAAGGAGAAGGTGTTTTTATTAGCATAATCTCTGCTCCTAGTTGTGAAAACCACCAAGATGAGGGGACAGCCCTGGGGTAGCATCAGAAGCTGTGGGAGCTCTACGGAGCCAAACAGCCTATGACTCAATTTGGCTCTTGCCACTCACTAGGAATGTTCTCTCGGGTAAGTCGCTTCGTCTCTCCATGCCTCAGTTTACTCGTCGGTAAAATGAGGATAAGAACAAAACACCTATCTCATAGTGTTGTGGAGAGGATTAAATGTGCTAATCCGGGTACCTAACACAGTGTAAAGGCTCAGTAAAGGTTAGCTGTTAAGGTGCCCTTGTTAGTACTATTATCTCATATTGTAAGAGAGACTCCACTGAGAAAAAAAAAATCTCCAAATTAGACCTGTGAGTCTGAAAGATATCAACCCAGGTTAGGGGCAGAGGTGTGATAAATATTCGGCAAAACATCATTTACAAAGTTTTAGTGAGGAAAAGTGGCTTAAATTTTAACAGATACTGACAGCTAACTCGTTAGCCTCTGTGGTGTCAAAGGCATTAGCCCTTTCAGAGGTGTGCAAAACCACCTGGGGTTTGCAGTTACTCAGGCCAAACCTGGGAGTCATCCCTGGAGCCTGTTTCTTTTGTGCCCCGAATTCCATCCATTGGAAAACCCCGTTGGCTCTACGTTCTGAGAGATCCCAAATCTGACCACTTTTCCCACTAGTGCTCCTCACTGGTTCCCCTCCTTTCCCTGCCCTCCTCCCCTGCTTTCTTCCTAGCAGCCAAGGATATCCTATTACTGTGTAATTCAGGACACAGCACCCGGTACTCAGGACCCTCCCAGAACCTTCCTCGCTCTGAGTGAAAGCCTGAGTTCCCACCGCATCACCCATGACCTCTGACCTCCTCCCGCCGCTGGGCTCTCCAGCCCCACGGCCCCTGCTTCTGCTCAAACAGAACCAGGCACTGGCAGGTTCCTCTGCTGGGAAAGCTCTCCATTAACTCCTTCGAAAGTCTACCCTCATCAACCTATTTAAAACTGAGACCAACCCTCCAACCCAAAGAACGCTGGTTCTTCCTAACCACGCTTACCTTTCTGTTTTCATCGCTCATATCACTTTCTAGCATTTTATGTAAGGTATTTATTATGGCAATTATCTATGATCTATTTCTTAGACCTGAATGAAAGCTCCACGAAGGCAAGGATCTTTGTTTTATTTACTAATTTATCCCAAGTGCTTGGACCGGTGCCTGGCACACACTTGGTGTTCAATGAATATTTGCAAGTGAATAATCTTTAATTGATTTTTAATTGAAAGCTCTTCCCCAAGTTCAAAAATAGATGCCTCTTTAAGATGCTTTGGTTAATGTATCTTTGAGTAAGTGAGCAACTATGAATAAAAAAAGGGACTTGCTTTCTTTCTTTTCTTAAAGCGAGTCTAAATTGGAGGCTGACCTTTCCTGAAGCCCCCCTCTCCCACAGTATTTCATCCTGTGGGATCAGAGCAGCATGTATCTGAGGCCCACATTCCTTTTCTTGAGTATATCCCTCAAGGCCTCCGTTTGGGGGCTCTTCTAAGCTTAGGGGACCTGGGAATGCTCTCCGGCCTGGATCCTCCTTCAATCTCTCAAGCCAGGCCCCCAAATCTGTTAAGGTTTAAAATGTTAACACCTCTGAGATGAATCACTTACATGCTTTTGTCAGCCCCTGCAGGGATTATCTGACATTGAGTTCAAGGCAGGATGGGCCCACCTATCCCTGAGGGGAAGTAGGAACCTGAGAAAGGATTCTATGGGAGATAAGAAAAAAATGGCAATCACCAACTGGTCCAATTTCACAAAGTTGCCTTGGGCTGGTTCTGGCCAGGCCACTCCAAGTCAATTCAGATGCTTCCAACAGGCTGCCCAACCAATTTTAACTATTTGGCAGGTGTTAATCCCAGTTCACCGGTGCCCAGGAACTGGTGTGCATATCCTAGAGTCTGAAGCTATCCAAGAGCCCAGGACTCAGGTGTGTCTGTTTAACACTCCAAATAATCTTTGCCTTCTAGCCTAAGAGCCCTGCGGTGAGCTGCCTTCCAGCTGCTGAGACAGAAAAGGTGGCAGAGTTCCGTTGTTGCCCTTGCCCTTGCCCTTGTAAGCGGGTCTGTCTCCTCTCACCTGGCACTTCTTCTCCCACAGGGCTCGCAGCGTCATGCTCTCCACACTGCAGGCGGAGCACAGCTTGTTTCCAAAGGCCTCCTGGATCCGGAGAACCAGGCGTTTGTGGTGGGCCTCATCCATGGCGTAGAAGTGGTTGAAATCTAGGAAGACAATCTCTTGGGGGTGTTGGGTGAGAAATGAGTCAATCTCCATCAGCCCGTCCCAGACCTTGATGCCAAAAAGTCCGTGAATGAAGTAGATCTCCTGGTCGGCATCTCCGGGTTTGGAAGACACACGCAGGTCGAAGTAGCGGATGCCAGCTTCCAGTTGCTCCCGGAACGTCAGGTTCTGCGTCACAGACCATTTCTTCATGAGCTTCTTCACCAAGGAGATCCTGGCCAGGCGTTTGATGGCTGCGGTTTGGTCGGGCCCCACTGGGGACTTCTCATCTACCCAGTAGCTGAACGAATCATGGGAGCCTGTGCAGAGCAACAAACGTGGGGAAAGCAGGTGAGACCGGCGCTGGGAAGGATAAACCCACCGATCAGAAAGCAGCAAACAATTAGCAAATACACACACGAAAATGTCAGCGAATTCTTGCAAAAGTTTTCAAACTCGCTAGACTAGAAAGAAGCGCAAATAAAAGTAATGTGGTCTTATTAGCAGCTCAGTAAGCCTGGAATACAGCTCTAATTCTCACATATGACTAGTGTAAGGTGAATTAATAAATACCCTTTTGGAAAGCTCCTTAGAAACGGGTTTGGAAAGAGGAGCTTTAAAATACTCATACCACTTGATCTAGTGATTTCATTTCATGGAAAGCTCTTCTGAGGAAATACATTAATGGTGGGAAAACAAAGATGTTTGCTGAAGAATATTCATAAGAAGACAACCTGGAGGTTGCCTAAGTGTCTCTTACGGGAGAACACTTGATGCCACCATATCCGCTTTATTCGTGCAGTCGAATTCTGGGACAGGCATTTACGTTCTAGGAAAGGCAGAATTAAAAAAAAACACTGCTATTTTGTATACTATTTTTTATGCTTTTGTACATACACTATTTTACTATCGTGAAAATCTGAGTCAGTTGGAATGACTTCTTGACAAGTCAGGTCATCATTTTTAAAAGCTCAACACAGCTTACACAGATGGCCTTCTTTCTGGACACATATCTTAATAAGCCAAATCTGCTCTTAAATGGGCAAATGTACATTCCTTTCCTCTGCCTGAAAGAAAAGAGGGTAGTTATCCACCCAGACACTGAGATGATCTTATTGTTATGAAGTCTGAGAGACCACAAGAGACACAGTTCTAACTATGGTGAGAAAAACACTTCAGTAGTTACTCAAGGTGAAAATGATCTTTAACAAATATCTTTCACCGGTCATTGGTTTCTATGTAGCGGCACCCATTATCACGCGCTTAGCTCTGGGACTGACTCTGACCCTGGGGATCCCGCATAAATCGAGGAGGAAACTGCCCTTCTTCTGACCCTACCAGCTTCGTTCTTAACCATTACTGCCCATTTTAGAACCAAATTTTTAATTCATACTAGCTGGCTATTATCTATTCTTTTGACCCAATTTTAAGTACATATTATTTCCATGTTCTTTAAAATAAATCAGTCTGGGATGGCTTTACTATCTTATCTTCTCAGAAATAAAGCAAAAGAAGAAAAAAAGAAGGCGACCAGTGATGTTTTGTTTGTAGTCTCTAGAACATGGAGGATACTTAGTAACTATGAAGAAAAAGCATATTTGTTAATCCTTAGGCAAAGTCAATTCTGCATGCGAGAAAATTACTAGCATATTTCAGGTAAAAAAAAAATTGCCATTACTAATAGAAATGTGGAGCAAATCCCCCTGGATTTTCCGTATTTGTTGTCTCTGTTAATGAGACTCAGAGGATACTTGCCTAATGCTCTGCTTCTTTTGGCTTGTACAGAAACGGGAAATCTTTCTACCTCCTCATTGAGAGACTTATTATGGTGAACAGCCAGTTCTCTCTTCTTTTTAAATTATACTAGCAGCCCAGCTGTTCAGGATGGAGTGTGTGATAAAGTGCACCCAAGGCCCACGTTGAATTTAATTCTTCCCTGGGTCTCAGGGAATAGTCATTATCCAGGCATGGAGAAGAGACAATCCCCTCTGGTATTTTCTTGTTGGTGCCGAGCCCAGTCTCATCTCCGGAGGGAGATGTGCTAACAACCTCCCAAGCTCTTCTCCATGCCCTAGGGCTGTGCAGCAATGTGACAGCGATGGGGCCCCAGGGACCATTTCTGGATACACAGGGGCAGGCGTGGTGCCCAGCCATCCCCCAGAAGAGGGAGGTTGTGCCCATTCCCGAGGAACACTCAGTCTCTGCCTCTCTGTTTCCTTCTCTGCTTCCTCTTTTCCTTTCTGATGTCCTGTGTCCAGTGCGACCACCTTGACAGGAAAGGACAGGACAATGGAGCCGATTGTTTGCAGAATGTTTTACGGCATTGTCCTACCCAGGCCTACCTACAGCAGTCAAAGCCTACGTAACGTTACTTGTTAACCACTATCAGTATTTTTGCTTTTCTACCCTTTTTTTTTTTTTTTTCTGGGAAGCTTTTGCCTCATACAGAGTGAGTGAAGTGACATTCAGGCCTGAGGGCCTGAGTGCATTTAACTCTTTCTTTTTCCCAAAACATGGGATAAAAATGCCCTCCCTTCTCCTGCACATAATTACAAATTATGCAATCTGCTAATAGTACATATACAAAGAAAATCCTAATATTTTCCAGCCCAAATTCATTAGCAAAATTTCTTCTTCTCCCTAGAGTCGATGGAAGTTATTTTACTTTTTAAGACTGTAGATAGTGAGAGCTACCTCTCCCCTCTGCCCTGGGATGCATGCATTACATTCATGCATTCCACCAGAGGAGGAGGGAAAACCTCTTAATCGGCCCTTGCCCTATTTCTGTGAGAATTGCTGCGTGGGAGTTAGGGAGGACAGCTCCATGAGCTGCTCCTGCTGGTGAGTTTTATGATAAGGTTTGAAGAAGTTTAGGACCTCATCCTGCTGTGATTTCTGCCACGGAAATATTTTTGCTGCTTACTTATTTTTGCTTTACCACCTGGCGGTATCTATGCGTCTTCACTCACCCCTCTCTGTGGCTCCTTTATCTCTAAAATAGATTTAACAGGTGCCCTTTCACTTAAGAACCAAACAAAACACCTTCCCTCACATGTCTTAGCCCTTCCAGCCACTCTGTCTTCCCTTTCTTCCTCACCCTCAAACTCTTCAAAGGTAGCGCAGCCCTGCTTTGCCTCTTATGCTCTACCCCCTCCTTCCCACTCGAGGCCGCCTCCTAGCCTATGGCTCCTCCAGTTCCTTATAACCTTTCAACGGACAACTCCTAATGGCTTAATTTTTCTTAGTTTCTCTGAGGGTTTGCTAAGTCAGCTTTTTCTTCTGGAACCTTCCATCCCCTTGTGTTCTGTGATACATACTTCTAGACATTCCTAGCCTTCTGCTAACCTCTCCCCCTGTCTCCTTTGCTGGCTCCTCTTCTTCCTTGCCCCCAAATTTAAATATTTCCCAAGGATCTGTTCTCTATTTGCTTCCTTTTCCCCCTTCCAGAGATTTCATCTGCTCCCCAGGTTTACCGTAGCACCTTCATGCGGATGACACCAAAAGCTTCACTTCAAGCTCAGACTCCTCTAAGTTCCAGATTTGTTTTCGACTTCCTGCTGAGGTCTCCCACCTTGATGACCTGCTCACACAGCAGATTACAGATTTTCAGAGTCCACCTACTCATGCTGTCCCTCTTACCCCACAAAGTGACTCTTCTGAATTTCTGCCAATCGTGCAGTGACTTGAACTTGAAAGCTTGGATTCTACTTACATTCTGCCCCTCTTCCCCCACCCATACTCTTCATCCACCCAGTTACCAAAATTTTGCATTTGACTTTTGCAACATTTATCAAACCTGTCTCTTCCTCTAACCTTCAGCTGACACCCCCCTGTTCATATGTTCATTATCTGTCATATAATCAGGACCGAAAGGACCCTAATGTAATCCCTTTCACTCCAGCTTCTCTCCAATTTGTTCATATTCGAAAGTTAATCATTTCAAGATACAGTGCTAATTATGTCATTTTTTTCATCCTTCCTCCCTCCCAAATCAGGTTCCAACACTGAGCACTGGTGTTCAGAACTCTTCAATATGGCCCCAGTGTGTTATTTTAGACTCATCTCTCACCAGGTCTCCACACAAAGCCCGGCATCTGTTGGTGTGCAGTACACACTGGTAGGCAGGCCTCCTCCTGGATTTTGTTCCCTTCTTCAGCTGAACTTAACTTTCCATAAAATATTCTCTCACCCTAACCCTGTCTACAACTTCTCCCCAGCATTTACAGCCCATATTGGGCAAATTGCTTACCCTACGTCTATTTCCTCATCTGTGAAATGGGCCTAATAGTGTCTCTTGTCACAAAACCAGTGTTCAAGGTGCTTAGAACAATGCCGACATGTAGGAAGTGCTGAACTATTGTTATTGTTATTATTAGCCATTCCCTGTGAGTTGGAAACTAGAATGAGGAGGGGTCATTAATTGGGACTCCTGACCTTAAATATTTAGGGTCTGGAAGATTTTCTTTTCTGCACTTCAAGTACTGTCCCTCTTCATCTACTGGTTGACAGGGAGATGGTAGCTTAGCCTTTACTTTGTTGACAGTAGCTGCCACTCACTCTCTTGGTCGCAGCCTAAGCTTTGTCATCACCCACTTCGAAAATCTTAAAATTTGATATCCTGGTCACAACTTACTTTTCTTCTGCCTCACTGTGACTTGACTTCTATTTCCCCCCAGCCTGAGAGCCCAGGATTGGCTCTACTTCTCCTCCAGCTATAACCAAGGTTGTTAATTGCCACTTTCATCTGCAGAATTATTAATTAGAAATATTTGAAAGCTGTTAGGATCACAGTGGAGGCACATTTTCTGTCTTATACAGGCAGATCATGTGCACAGTCCAAAATGGACATGGAAATATTAACATGATATTTTCTAACATACTTTTTGACTATCAACAAATGTTTTTCTTGTTTTCTCCAATATTTCTCATTTATAGAGTGGACTCAATAAGGTTTTAGGAACTAATAGACATCAAATATTAGATGACTGTTTTCAGACTCTGGGAAGGGAATTTTGTTGTCATCTCAAGAACAGCCCATATACAGAGCAGGAAGTATGGCCACACAAGCTCCTCTTTCATGTTCTACATTCAATGGATTGCCAGCATCCCTAATTTTAGCCCTACAAGGGTGAGGGCTTTTCCTCCAATTTCTGGAAGCGTATTTTTCTGCAATCCTTTCATTTTTACAATTACTACTCTTTCTCTTCCTCTTCCTTATATAGTCAACAGGCATTGCAAACCTGTTTAATTCATTTTCCTCTTTTTAGGTGTACAAAACCCTCGATAATATGTGAGAAAGCACTTTGTAATCTGAAGCAGT